TAAAAAATTTCCGGCCCTATCGTCAGGGGCCCCATTTGCCAAAGGGCCAAATTTGCCCCCAAAAAAAAAAAAAAAAAAAAACATTCTAAGGGCCACAAATGGCCCCTGGGCCGCACTTTGGACACCCCTGTTACAGAAAAGTCAATATAACCTTTTTTTTTTAGAAATGAATCAATTATTGAAATAATCATCAACTATAATTAAGCAATCGATTATTAAAACTGATTTTTAAAAAGGACATTTGGTGAAAAAACAAACTCAAAGCAATAATTAAGGCAAATCTGTACAGATGGTTTTTGCATTTAAGATGAGATGTCTGTAAATATGTTACAACCAAAACTTCTGAAGTTGTTTAGTTTTATCTTCACCTGGTTCAAATTCACTAAAGGAATGCTGCGTTATTTCATTTCAGGCAATAAAAGGTCTGTTTTTTGTTTTGAAAAAAGAATTAAATTATTAGTTTTTGTCTTTTAATGTATTTCTATTATAGTGGTTAAATTAAAAATCTGTAGGACGTGGACATTTTTTCATTCAATTGTTAGAATAATCATTATTTGCAGTCCTAATTTGTTGTATTTTATGATTAGAGATTAAATCTGCCGCCTTTGGCTCCTTCTTCAGGGTTTGCTCCAGAGGGAGAAAGGAGCAGAGGCCCACTCTCTGGACCAAGTGGTGAAACTCAAAAACCTTCCTGAAAACCAGCAGGAGGCTTTCAAGACTGGCTTCACCGATGGGTTCATGAGGTCCCAAGCTCTGACTCAGAGAACTCAAGGTGTGTGGAATAAATACTTAAAGCTTTTTATTGAACTGAGAGGAGACCTGATGTTGTTTCCTATTTACAGACTCATTGAGGAGAACCAGGCTGGTCCTGCTGGTCCTCCTCCTCATCGGCATTTACGGCCTCTCTAGAACCCCCTTTCTCTCCGGTAAAGGCTCCTTTTCTGACGCCGGTTTGTTTCGGTTTTCATTCTTTCTTATACATACAAATAAAATTCCAGCTCTACATGCACACAGTTTATTTATAAATTCATTAAAATAGCACTGGGTGGTGGTTATTTTCAGCTACATCGCTTTATCACATATTAGACCAGCACAAAGTAGCAGGGGTGGTTCTAGGGATGGTGTAGGGGGGGCTGTAGCTCTCCAAGAAAATGAAAATAAAAACCTTTTTTTTTTCTATGTCATGAAATATTTTTATTTAACCTAAATTCAAAAATAATCTCCAATAAACAGTCATTTATGAATATTTTCTAATACAGCTAAGTGAAAGCAGAAAGACCAGATAAGCTTTCTGCTCATGTTGAGCAAATAAGAGAACAGACGTACCATTAACAACAAACAGGAGTTCTTGTTTATCACGCAGCCTCACAAAAACACATTTTTAGACTTCTTTAAGTTGATACTCGTGTCTTTGACATTTCCAGTTCTTCAGTAAGCTTTGGGTATATTTTCTTTTGAGAAGCTGCAACAGAGATAGCTGAATCTCCGGCCCCGGATCAAGACAGATTTATTGTTTTTAAAGTAATTCCCCTCCACAAAAGACACGTTTTGATTTTAAAACACCCGACACTAAGGCTTCAATCTCACAAATTGTGACCCAATCACAAGTTTTTCCTACTTTTTCACTGCCTGATTCTTATCTTATACATCTTCCAAACAATATGTGGAACTAAATTACATAAGTATTCTCACTGACATAAAGTATTAGAGGAAAAGATGCAGAATAAAATTAGTTTTATTCATTAGAGATGCAAATCTTTAAGTGCCCAGCGATTCGATTCAGATTTTTTTATTCAGAAACCATTTTTTTCTATTCAAATGTTTTAGAGATTCTGTTTAAATTATGAGACTGACAAGAGTAAAGAAATAAAACTTTTATTTAAAAACTATTCTATGAGGTTCCTACTATGTCAGATTTAATTAAAATGTGTTTTTGTTTATAAAATTCTTTAACTTAAATTATTATATTAGCTTAGCTGCCTGGATTTTTCTGTAAAAGAAAAAAAGAGAGAAATTATAGAATTATTCAAAATATACGTAAAATTAGGTTTGGATCGATTCTGAATTTCAAGGAATATATATTGTGATTCTTTATAGAATTTTTTTCTGTGCATTTATTCATATTTCAGGTTTTTTTTTGGTTGTGATTTTGCGTTACTTTATGCTGGTTTATCCATGAAATCCTGATGAGTAGATAACGAAGTGAAAAACTGTGTGCAAGTAGAGTTTGGTCGTTTTCGCTTCTTTTTCTCAATATGTGCATTTCTAGAGCAGCTGCTTATAGTTTCTTAACAGAACTGGAGCTAAATGAGTAACTGACAGGATAAGTTTGGATCGTCACGTTTACCTTTGTGCCACAGTAAGCAGAAAGCTGCATCTTTGTTTCGTAAAACCAGTTTGTCCGTGTCGTTTGTGAGAAGTTTTGTGGGTTTTTCCACAGTGAGGTTTCGCACCACTACGGGCCTCGACTCGGCGATCGACCCCATCCAGATGAAGAACGTGACGTTCGAGCATGTCAAAGGCGTGGAGGAGGCGAAGAACGAGCTGCAGAACGTCGTCGAGTTCCTCAAAAACCCACAGAAGTTCACAGTGTTGGGTGGAAAGCTGCCCAAAGGTACCAGCAGTGTTTCTATGTTGATTATACCTGCTGGTGTGAATGAAAATAGCCTGACTGTCGACTCTGTGCAGGGATTCTCCTGATCGGGCCGCCCGGCACCGGGAAGACCCTGCTGGCGCGGGCCGTAGCCGGGGAAGCAGACGTTCCTTTCTACTACGCCTCCGGGTCGGAGTTTGACGAGATGTTTGTGGGCGTCGGCGCCAGTCGCATCAGGAACCTGTTCAGTACGTTTCCAGAACCGGTGAAAACCGCAGCAAAGAGGAAGCCGAGTAAGAACAAGTTTTCCTGTTGTGGTTTGCAGAAGAGGCAAAAGCAAACGCTCCGTGTGTCATCTTCATCGACGAGTTGGACAGCGTGGGAGGGAAGAGGATCGAGTCTCCGATGCATCCCTACTCCAGACAAACCATCAACCAGCTGCTGGCGGAAATGGACGGGTGAGTTTCATCTCCAGTGTCTGGCCCGGTCCACAAAACAAACACATTTTTATGCGTTTTGACCTTTAAACTACACAAAACTTTAGTGAAATGTCATTTAATGTACGCGTGAAAACTAAATTTAGTGTTACAATGCGAGATAATATATCCATGATTGCTTTGACACGATTCCTGATCAACATCGTCTGACTTTATTGGCTTTACGTCGGGGCTGGACGGTACAGCTGAATAAACTCATCACCATGAGCGCTTCATATCCCCCGTTTCCATGGAAACCGACACTATTTTGATGTTTTCCAGGTTCAAACCCAATGAAGGCGTCATCGTCATCGGTGCTACAAACTTCGCTGAAGCTCTGGATAAGTATGTTTATGTACTGAGTTAATTGTTGTCTAGAACTAGCTTTTCTTTCTAAAGAGGAATGATTTCAGCTCATTAAATAAATGCAGCAAAAACTCAATGAGGAAAATAAACAAGGATCTTTAAGATTCATGTTGGAGACTCAAACCGCCAGCAGAACAAAGTTAAGTGAATTTAACGTTTTTCTTTTTATTTAGAAATATTTTATGGTGGTTTGAAGCAGGGATAGCTTAGAAAATAAGATTGACTTTACTTCAAATTCACTCCAGAACATTTGCCTCTATAGACTCTCCTAAGTGGCTTTTAATAACTTTAAAAAAAAATTTATTGAAATAAAACAGTAAAGATAAAAATAAAATAAAAAACTTGTTAATTTTTGCAGGTTTTCTGTGTGTTTTTATTGGATATTTGTGTAAAACTTTAGTTTGTTTCAGGTAATTGAAGTAAACAGAGGATGATTGTTTCTGCTTTCAGTGCTCTGGTGAGACCCGGCAGGTTCGACATGCAGGTGACCGTCCCCCGCCCCGATGTCAAAGGTCGCAAAGAGATCCTCAACTGGTACCTGTCCAAGATCAAAGTGGACCCGGGTAGGTCATTTCAGAGACATCTGCTGATGCTCATCAGCGCTCCAAGCCAGCGAGCCACACAGGCTCCCGCAGTCAGAGAGTCGGATGACTTGACAAGTCGTTTTGTTTCTGGTCAGCCGTTGATGCCGAGATCATCGCCCGAGGCACGGTGGGCTTCTCCGGGGCAGAACTGGAGAACCTGGTGAACCAGTCCGCCCTGAAGGCCGCCGTGGACGGGAAGGAGATGGTCACCATGAAGGACCTGGAGTTCGCCAAGGACAAGATCCTCATGGGTGAGCGACGGAGCTCCGAGCAGCTCTTTATCACAGAAACATGCAGGAATGGAAAATAAATTAAAAAAAACTTGATTTTTTTCTCTCATTGTCACAATAATATTTTACTGGACGGTAAATTGTCCCATATTTTATTGTGATAACCTATTATGTTGCTGTTTTGGGACCATTTTCAAGTAATCTAATGGTAAACTTTAAATTTTCTGGAACTGGAAGATATTTTAAATAAAGTGAATAAACAACAGAAACAACAAATAAAATTAATTATAAAGTCTCTGTAAACAAAACTGTCCTTCAAAACAAGAAGCTAGCTTAGACCAAAACACCAAGCAGAAGATTTTATCATCCAGTTTTTGGTAGAAAGAGAGAAAAGAAAAAAAACTATATATTATGCAAATAGAAATTATTGACCTTGTTTTAATTTGTCATGTGATTGATTTATTGCTTATTACAACAGACCCACTTTATCTATTCTCCTATTTGTCCATCTGTTACCCATCTGCTGTGAAATCGTTATTTTCAAGATGTCGGCGTGTCTTTAAAGAGTCTAAAATTATGTAACTAGAATTAAAATGTCTTAAATCCATAGAAGAAATGTGAGTTGACCTTAAATATGTTCGTCATAGGTCTTAAATTTAGTCTCATGTAGTTTTTTTTTTTTTTTTCGTGGGACTTTTCTGTGAGGTTATCATCTTTGGACCTGAGGAAATTTGACTCCATGAAGCCTGTAGATAACCCGATTTGTCTCTTTCCTTTCAGGTCCTGAGAGGCGTAGCGTTGAAATAGACAAAAAGAACAAGACCATCACAGCGTACCACGAGTCCGGACACGCCATCGTCGCCTATTACACCAAAGACGCGATGCCCATCAACAAGGCCACCATCATGCCCAGAGGACCGACTCTTGGCCACGTTCGTTCGGTTTTAAACCTTAGACTCCAGCGTCGTTTGGTGTGGCTGCGCAGAAGCTAACCTGAGTCGTGCTTTTGTTCGTCCTCCAGGTGTCCATGCTCCCCGAGGACGACCGCTGGAGCGAGACGCGGGCCCAGCTGCTGGCCCAGATGGACGTCAGCATGGGCGGCCGCGTCGCAGAGGAGCTCATCTTCGGAGACGAAAATGTCACCACAGGTACCAGCTGCTCGGTAAAATGCTGCTTAGACGTGACGGTTTAAAGGGTTTATTTAATAATCGGTCTGTTTTTAGGAGCCTCCAGCGACTTTGATGGAGCGACACAAATCGCAAAACTGATGGTGACCCGGTTTGGCATGAGCGACAAGGTGAGCTGAGCTGGTAAAAACGGCATAATGAGGAGCATTGTTATGATGTCAGACAGGGCAGGTGCTTCTTAAAGAGACAGAGACCCAATTTTAAGGCGTTAAGTTGCAAAGACAAGGATTTATAATTTTCTCCTTTTATCTCTCTACCAAAAACTGGATAATAAAAGTTTTCAGTCTGGTGCTTTGGACTCAAGTAGCCCATTTTTTTTGGAGGACAATTTTGTTTATATTACTTTAAAATGTTCTCAAAACAACAATATTGTTTATCACACTAAATTCTGGGACAATTTATTTTACTGTTTTACTGTGACAAGCCTAAATAAAATGGTGATATGCCTGGAAAATACTTTAATACACAAGAAAATTTCTTGTAAGTAAGTGAATGTTTTCTGGGAAAAGAGCCGTTGCCTAGCAACCCCAGCCACACCCAGTCCGTTCCCTAGCAACCCGAGAAGAGTTGAAGCGTTGTCAGCTGGTTTTACCTCTGTACACTTCAAAAACACAAAATTTTACCAGTAATTTTGGTCTAGTTTCTAGTCCAAATACCTTAATGCACTTTAAATATGACAAACTATCTTAAAAATATCTTTTTAGCAAGATATAGAGGCTCGTTACAAGTAAATAATTCCTTATTATTTATGTTCCATTGGCAGATAAATTAACTTATAAAATGGGAAAAATGTCTTGTTATAAGTTAAATAATCTGCTAATGGAACAAGTAATAATCATTAATAATAAGGAATTATAATCCTTAAAACAAGCCTCTATATGTTATTAAAAAGATATTTTTAAGGTAGTTTTACCTTATTTCAAGTTTGCTAAGAAATTTGCTCTAGAAACTAGACCAAAAATAGTTGATAATTTTGTCTTTTTACAGTGTGCAATGGGTGCTGGAAAAGACAAGTGCTACGTTGTTGAAGGAGGCTCCACTTCTGCTTTTCAAAGATATACAGTTGATTAATTGCGCCTCTGTTTGCAGCCATTTTTATGTGTAAACATTGAGTTGGGAGGGTGTGGCCAACAGCAGCAGTTTATTTGGATTTAAAGTGACAAAATGTGATTTTTGTCACATTTTATGTTTCTGTGCAGCTCGGGGTCATGACCTACAAGGACATCACCAAGCAGAGCCCCGAGACGCAGGCCGCCATCGAGCACGAAGTCAGAGCTCTACTGAAGGTGAGGCGCTCTACGTCCCACAAGTTGACCTTTTCACCCTGTTCTGCGTCAGTTTCTATCGTTCATTTGTCCGTTTCTCTGCAGGAATCCTACGACCGAGCGAAGAACATCCTGAAGACCTACAGCAAGGAGCACAAGAAGCTGGCGGACGCACTGCTGACGTACGAAACGCTGGACGCCAAAGAGATCCAGATGGTGCTGGAAGGAAAATCTCTGGACCACTGAGACATTCAAAGACTCTGTAAATAAAACGCTGTGCAAGCGGGACTGATCTTTTGAAAGCCTTTCAGTCCTTTTTATTCCTCCTTTTGACAATGTGAAAAGCTGGATGAAATGTTTGACATTTTTAAATCACCACAGTACGATGAATCTGCGCTTCTCAGTTAAAATCATAAACTTGTTTTCTTGCTGCTCCTCATTGTCAAACTCACAGCTGAAGGGTTTCTGTATCTCATGTTTTCTCCTACATATTATGTTGTTTTTAAGTTATTTAAGTGCCCAAAGGTATGTATTATTATTATTGTTTTCATTTTATTTTCTGTCAGGGAAAATCATGATAGATCCTCTTATCCACACCTGAGGAAAAACTGTAAGTGCTAGCCAGTTTGTGTAAATATTCTGTAAAGAGTCTGAAAGGACGGATTTGGTGCTTCTGTTACTTTAGACGATGGCCTTCTTGGAGCTCCAATAAAGATTTCTCTCAGGAAACAAATGTTTGGAGTGATTTCTGTGATTCAGGAGTCAAAATAGTATGCAATTTTACTGTAACATTTACACGAAACAAAGAAAATGTGATTGTTTCTTGTTTTGAGCAGTGAGTAAAGCTCAAACACCAAACATGTAGAGGGGAAAAATACACATTCTGGAGTAGAATAGAAATTCACTTTATTGTCCCCCAGTGAGGAAATTAAGGCAGGTGTGTCCACACAAAGATAAAAATTATATAACCACTTCTGAAAATAAAACCTTGAGCAATATGTTTTGCTATACTTCTCAATATATTAAATATGTGTAAAAAAAAATCTAGTCCAAAAGTCTTAACATTATGAAATTAACATGTTTTATGTAAATGAAACATGTAAAAAGTCATTTCTTTAAAAAAAATATTACCAATTTTAAAATTTAGACTAAATTGTAGCTTACATTTCACAATGGAAATGTACTTAAAAACAAGTTAGCAAAGCAGGAAAGTAGAGAGAATGTAAATAGAAATGATACAAAAATAAAACCCACCAGTTGATTATAAAATTATAAAATACATTCATACAAAACACCAACAAAAACAGATGAGCTGAAATCCACAGAATGCTCCTTTGTCTGGGATAATTAATGGTTATCGGATCATTTTAACCTGCAATTAAGAGATTTGGTTCCGAGAAAAACACACCGACCCGAACAAACCCCAGTTGTCTCTTTTCTGTCCCAGTATTTATAAGCAGGCAGCGGGTTAAAGAAGCTGCAGAAGCCTCCATGTTTCACTGGACACTAGTTTTACCACGAAGAAGCTTGAAGACGCTCAATCAACTTCCTAAATAAAGATGGCGGACGCCGATGAGGACGTCGCTGTTATCGGGATGGGATGTAATTTCCCTGGAGGTGATTTCACTGGCTGCTGGCGGTCCCATCGGTTGTTAAAGGTAATTTATTGACTTCTACTCTATGTTAGGTGAGGGACTGGATAATTTCTGGAAAGTTCTGCAGGAGGGAAGGAATTGCGTGTCGGACATTCCAGCTGAGAGGTTCGACGGCAACTTCTGGCGCGACGCTGACGTCACCAAACCCGGAAAGAGCCAAACAGCGAAAGCTGCGTTTATAAAAGGGTGAGGAGAGTCATCAGGTCTGATATATGGGGAAAAATACTTCTGTTTATTTAGGGGTAACAGACCACAATGGGGCTCAAATCCACTTAATCACATAATTTTCAAATTTATTATCACCTGAAAAATGTATCTTAGATTTTGTGTTTTGCTCTTTCTACACTACCAGTAAATAAATGTATGACCGTGTATTATGGTAATTGTAGATTAAAAATAGGCGTAAATTTCTGAAAAAAAGAACTCCGAAAATTTGAGATTAACTTCAGAATTTTTCTAGAAAAAAAAGTGGAAATTTGAGTAGAAGTTTGAAATGTTAAAAATTTGCGAGAAAACAATACAGAAATTTTTAGATCAATCTTGGAAATTGTAAAAAAAAATTGTAAAAAAAAACAACAACCTGGAAACCTCTGAGTTTTGAAAAGTAAAAAAATCTAGAAAAAAAATTAAAGTCTTGAGATTATTCTCAGAAATATTCTGGAAAAATGAGTTTTAAAAGTGGAAAATTTGCAATAAAAACTCAAAATCAGAAATTTAGATTTGAGATCAATTTCAGAAAATTTATTGAAAAAAAATTGAAATTTCAGTTTCAAAAGTCAAAAACTTGGAAGAAAAAAACGGAAATTTTGAGATTAATCTCAGAAATATTCTTAAAAAACACAAAAACTTCTGCATGTGAAAAGTCAAAAATATTCTAGAAAAAACTCAGAAGTCTTGAAATCAGTCTGAGAAATTCTCTAGAAAAACATGGAAATTTCTGAATTTCAAAAATCAAAATTAGCGAGAAAAACTAAAAAAAAAATTTAAAAAAATAAAATAATTAATCTAAAAAATTTTCCAAGAACAGTAAGACAGGAGGCCATGCCACCACCTTCTGATTCTGAGTTTTTCTTGCAAATTTTAAACTTTTGAAACTCAAACTTTTCCAGATTTTTCTATAAAATTTCTGAGATTGTTCTCAAGACTGAGTTTTTTTTTTAGTTTTTTTTTTTGCTGTTCGAACTCAGAGATTTCCATGTTTTTTTTCTAGAAAAGTTTTGACATTAATCTAAAAATTTCAGTTTTTCTCACATATTTTCAACTTTTCAAATGTAGTATTTCAGATATTTATACAAAAAACTAATCAATTATTATCAAATATCGACTGATGAGACACATGTTTTTTCAGCCATCTTGTCCAGCCTAAGTAAAAGTACTAAAAAGTAATTTCCCCCCCAAATGTTACTCCAGTAAATGTAACTTGTCATCTTAACTCTGTGACTCTGAGTCATGACAGATCTGTTTTGATTTCTTTACAGGTTTAATGAGTTTGATCCGTCGTTTTTTGGGATTCCTGAAGTAGAAGCGGACTTCATGGATCCGCAGCAGAAGCTGCTGCTGCAGTGCAGCTACAGAGCCTTAGAGGACGCAGGAATACCTATGGAGAGCCTCAGCGGAACCAGAACCGGCGTTTACATCGGTAACTCTTCTCATATTTTACATTTTGAACCCACCGACTCGTGAGGAAGCATTTTTCTAGCCTGTTCTGCTTTAATGCTGCAGGTTTAATGAACAGAGACTATGAGATGATCAGGAGTAACAAGCCGGAGACGATAACACATTACAACTGCACCGGGACGGCCGTGAGCGTCGCAGCCAACAGGATTTCCTTCACCTTTAACCTCACTGGTCCTTCTCTCATCATCGACAGCGCCTGCTCTTCTTCGTTGGTGGCTCTGCATCTCGCCTGTCAGGCCATAAAGCAAGGTAGGCATTTCTAATTTACCTCGATAGTCTGCAGAAACATCCAAAAACATTTCCCTTACATGTTATGTTCTTTAATATGATTTTCTTAGGGCTGCCTGAGAAGTTACAGCCGTTTATGTTCGGTTTTAAAAAGCAGTAAAGACAAAATGAGGGCAAAAATAAATAAAACTTGTAGGAAATTAATATAAAACAGTATGCATATAAACAGTTTGGTTGTAACTAGTTAAATTTACTTGAGTAACTTTAAAAAAATATATTTTAGTAATGCTGAACTTTAACTTTAGTATTTTACTATTAAGTATTTCTACTTTTACTTGAGTAAAATTTCTGGATTTTCTATCCACTGAATGAAAAACAAACATTTTTTTAACCAAAAATTCACCAGACACAGACACATATTTTCAGTTTCTATTAAAGTTTCATAAGTTTTTTTTTTATTAAAAGAAACTGATTTAGAAAAAATTTCTTTGGTCTGATTTTATTAGTTTTTATTACTTATATGGATTATTGTCATTTTCATCCTTAAAGTACCAAAATTTCCACCTAACTTTATATTTTGTCTGTCTGATTATGTAATTTTTACACATTAAATGATGTGTAAAAATCATATAATGATTTTTACATTACCAGTTACCAGTTTACCAAACTGGTAAAAAGTTTGGTAAACTTTTTACCAAATACTTTTTTACTCTTAGTAATTTCTTGGAGGATTACTTTTTACTTTATTTGAGTAAAATTATGTTGAAATAGTTCTATTTTACTTACTTGAGTGTAATTTTTGCATATAATACGATCTGGGAATGAAATCTTTAGGAGCAGCTACTTTCTCCAGTCACCGCTAGGCGGCACTGTGGTTCCTGGTATAATGAACTGCACTGGTAACTATCAACAGTTTTTCCATGTGCTGTTGCCCAGAGCAAAACAAATCCATCACAGTTCCTTATTATATTATATTTAATAAACCAAACTATCGACGACATATTAGGGCCATTGTAGATAGAAAAAATAAGAGTTAATTTCTGCCAAAAACTCAAAAATGTTGAGGTTAATCTCAGAAAGTTACTAGAAAAACATGAAAATTTCTGAGTTTGAAAAGAAAAAATTTGCTAAGAAAGAAATTGGAATTTTTTGAGTTTCAAAAGTAAAATATTTTTGACTTTTGGAGTTTTTCCTTGGAAATATTTTACTTTCAGAACTCAGAAATATCTTCTTTTTTTCTAGAAAATTTCTAAGATTAATCCGAATTTTTTTTTTGTTTTTGGTGGAAATTTATTTCCTTTTAGTGCTGTCGTATTAGGCATTACAAGCCTAATACGCCTCACTGTGCTTTATAGACATTTATTGCTTACATTTAGTCTCAAATCTCAAAATATTTAGTCGATGTAAACAAAAATATCCTATGAAGTTTACACCATGTAATCTTGTATGATGAGTGGCAAATCTAGACATATTTAGGAATGCCTCTTTCAGCTAAATATGACTATATTTGTAAAAAAGTGCCAAAAAGTTTCCATTTTAGATTAAGTGTTAATATTTTCTGCAGCCTTTCTATACCAAATTATTCATAGCCAAGAGGTAATTGGCTTCACTAAAATGCACAAACTTATTAGATATTGATCAAAAATAGTAGAAAAGAAGCCAAAGTTCAATGTAAAAAGTTTAAAGATGTTCAGTATGTTCATATGTCCAGTGATCAAGACAACTTTAAAGAAGGTCTGGGACAAAAGAGGGTTAAAGTACTTTATATTTTATAAAAAATTGTATGCTAATGCATGCAGTTTTGTCCTAGGAGACTGTGAGATGGCACTGTGCGGAGGCGTTAACTGCATCATCGAGCCAAGAGTGTTTGTTGCTCTCAGCAAAGCCAGGATGATTTCACCTGAAGGAACCAGCAAGCCTTTCTCCTCCAGCGCAGACGGATACGGGAGAGGAGAAGGCTGCGGCGTTTTGCTCCTGAAGACTCTGAAAAAGGTTAAAAAGATTTCATTTAGAACAATCTAAAGTGTGGCGCGGGGGCCATTTGTGGTCCTTGGAACAATTCTGTGTGGCCCTCCACTGCAGTTTAAGAATGCCATGAATTTGGCTCTCCAGAGGAAACTTTTCTGATTTTTTTAGAATGAGAGTTTTAGTGACAGATTTAACTTCTTTA